ATCCGTAAATGTTATATTATAAAATTATTATTATTATTATTATTATTATTATTATGTTATATTTTATTATCCGTGAATGTTAGCAACTGGACAAATTGAATGCAGCGGTCAAGGAAAAGCGACCAGAATTGGTCAATCGTAAAGGTGTCAATTTTCCATTAGGACAATGTTAGGCCGCACACGTCTTTGTCCACTCGGCAAAAATTGATGGATATCGGTTGGGAATTCATGTTACACCCACCATATAGCCCTGATCTCGCGCCATCGGATTACCACTTATTTCGATCCCTGGACAACTCCCTTCGTGGTAAAACTTTTAATGATGATGACGCTGTAAAATCTCACTTAACTCAGTTTTTGGCCGGAAAGGATCAGACTTTCTACGAGCGTGGAATTTTCAAGTTGTCAGAGAGATGGCAAAAGGTCATCGAACAAAATGGAAAATACATTACAGATTAAACTTCATTCCAAGTAAAAAAAATTTTTTTATTTCATTGAACAAATCGGCAATTACTTAGTTGCTAACCCAATAAATAGTGTAGTATGAATTATACCGAATGCTGTGGTCGACATTCTACAACAATTCTTGTTCGATCTATTATATAGGGTGATCACGCTGACACTAGTCAGCGTTTTTCTTAGATTAGAAGAAATGAAAAAGTTACACAGTTACTTACTTACACAGTTTTTTGCTAGCAATATAATGGCGTCTACAATTTTTTTTATCTGAATCGTTTCTTTTTAAATGAAGGTAACTTTCAATTTTTTAAATGATTTGCTATGTACTTTTTTACATCGAATAGAAGAGTGTGCCAGAACGAATTCATTCGTATACGACATAATGACCTATAGCACCTCTCCACAGCTACAATGAAAACTTGGAAATCGACTTTCAATTGCACTAATATTTACCATTTTTCCGCAGCTTCTGTCGCCGCAGTTATGGATCAAGTCTCGGAGAGCTCCAGAACCGGAAGGCTTCGTCGAACACTCATCGAAAGTGGACACTGTCGGCGATAAGCCGGTGTTGCTCTTATGGCGACACGGCGAGATAAAGTCAATCTACATGGACCCGTCGGAGACCGTTTCATCGGCGAATTTGAAACGTGGCCTGGCTAGTTTCTTTCAATATAGGCTGCTCGACGGCGAGGTCCAAGAACGGGACGCTTCCGGCCTCTGCAACGCTACTTATCATTCCCTGGGTCCGAAGTCGATCATGAAAGAGAAGACCTTCTGCGAGCATGCTACTCTTCCGTCGAGAAAACGCCATCCAAACCCGCTGTTCGACGTGAAGGTCGTCAGCGAGCACAAAACGAATTACGAGCTATCGCATTATCTTCTGCCGAGCATGGTCCACGTCAAGGAGAGCCATAAAATGACGCTGCCAGCGAGGCCGGAAGTTGGTACCATCGTTACGTCGGAAGGAATCCTTGAAGAGGTCACCGATCTTTTGACCCCAAATCGCATCCAAGCCAATACCGTGAGGGAAGCTATTGTTTGGTTGCAACCTGGATTCGTGGAGACCAGCATAGAACTTCAATTGGAGCCGGCTACGTGTCCCAGCGGCGGATGCCAAACGGTTAGTTTGAAAAGGTTTTGGTATTATAATACAACCTTTATAACTTTCACTTATGATAGAGGTACAGTATGCTCTCCACATCTGTTACAATTTCGGGTCTGATTAGTGATAGTTATACTAAAGATACTTTCCATAACTGACACAACTTTGGTTCCACCGAGTGACAGTTATGGTAGTGGTATAATATTCTCTTCACATCTGTTACAATTTCGGGTCTGATTAGTGATAGTTATGCTAGAGATACGATATTCTTTCTGTAACTGATCCAACTTTGGTTCCACGGAGTGACAATTATGGTAGTGGTATAATATTCTCTCTACATTTGTTACAATTGATAGAGGACAGTATTCTCTCTATAAGGGTATGCTGAATAACAGTTATGGAGAATGAAACTACTTATAAGCATTCATATATTTGTGATTGATACATTTATTTAGTTCAGTATCCTATGTTCACTTATTTGTTATTATATTTGAGTCTAATTACTCGAAAGAAAAATTTATTAGCGTGAAATAAAAAACTACTTTTCATACGTTACTCGTAAGAAATGAGAGAGAGAGAAACGAATAAGAGTATTTGAAATAATCTATTACTTTAAATATTTACTTGTTTTCTTAGTTCGTATAAAATATGTCCAAATCTGCACTTTAATATCGAGACAAACTCACAGCGATGTTCTCAAATAAAATCTATTAAATAAATATAAACATAAAATTAACAAAGATTTTATATTTCTCCTGGAAAATCACTCTCGGCAAAGATCTTCTGATCATTGTAAAGTGACTTGTAGGTGTTTAAAAAATTGATAGAAAATTTAATAGAAAATATGGCTGCCAAGAACATTAAAAAAATTGTTCATGACTTTAGCTATAAAGTATAAATTCCAGCGCTTAAAAGTTAGCATTTCTGGTCGTTTGCCGTAAACACTTCCCACTTACTTTTGCTCACGTAAGGTTAAATAAATAAACGACAGAAAATGCATGATAATGTTAATAATCTAAAGGTATAATTATAGACTTCCTAGCAATTGTAGCTTCTTATGATATAATTTTTCGCGTCAAAGCAATCTATACATCAACATGCAATATATGTCGTGTGGAAATATCTGCGAAGGCCATCCCAGAAACGAGTCGCATAACATGCTAAGAACAATTGTATACTGTCACTCACTGGAATATTCGAACGCCTTTCAAAACGGACTAAATTTTCATAAATTCGATTCGATGATTTGAAATTGTTGAGATGTTAGCGAGACTAGTTTAATAGACAATATCCAAATAAATTCTCCAATCGTAAAATGAGCGATTTTCACGATTCCTAACTGTTTCTAGTAGACAACACCGTCGACCGAGTTTTCGATTCTGACAAAACGATTAAGAAACATCTGTTTTCTATCATTTTTGTCGTTGAAAACAATTCCAATCGTTGCGAAAGTGTGTTAAAATATTGTCCAAAATATTGCCAAAAAGTAGACCCCTTTCTCAGCGTAAGGAGAGCTCTGGGACACCCTGTATAATCGCATGCCACTTCCGATATCAGCCAAATGACCTTGAAATTCCATTTTCAGCTCGAGCAAGCCCTCGACGAACACCGCAACGCCCTAGAAAACGCGGCTCTCGGCACCGGGAAGTCCGCTGCAGCGTTCAACAAGCTGTTGCCCCTAGTCAAATCCGCCACGTCGGAAGAGTTATTGAAGATACTGAAGAGTCCGCGATACCGTCTCCTGAAGACGCAGCTATTAGACGTGATCGGGTCCGTCTCGACGATGCCGGGACATCAGGCGGCGATGAAGGCCTTGAGACAGGACGAAATAGGCGACGACACCGAGAGATACCTGTGGGCGTTGTCTCTGTCGCCATCGCCGGACGCGGATGTCGCGAAGGACGTCCTGAGGCGATCCGAGGAGACGATGCAGAACGACAAGGTGTCCGAGACGTTGGCTTTGACCGCGGCGGCGATGGCTCGTCACCTGGGCTCGCCGAGCGCCGTCGAGAAGGCCAGAGTCAGCTTAGAAATCGGTCTGGAGAGTTGCACCGGCGAGGAGTGCAAGCTGAAGTTCCTAAGGGCCCTCAGGAATCTGAGAAGCAAGGCCTCCATTCCGACTTTGCTGAGGTTCGCAACCGGTGACGATAGAGCCATCAGCGTGGCAGCTTGGAGGGCGTTGTCTGCCCTGCCGAAGGGCTCCATAACGGACGAAGCGAAGGTTGCAGCCAGAAGAGTCTTCTACCAAATCGGTGGTCCCAGGAGAGACAGCAGCGCCAGAACTATCGCGTTAGACGTAATTCTCGAGAACAGTCCTTCGAAAGACGACGTCAGGGGTCTGGTGGAGTACCTGGCCGGCTCTGATACAGCCTACGAGATCCGGAAGTACTTGGGCCAACGTTTAGAGCAGGTCTCTAAGAAGGACGCTCGATTGGCTGCGAACTTGAACGAAATAATGGAAGAGTATGGGAAGAGCGTGGTGAACTATAACGTTCTGGCTCAACGTGGTTTGAGCACAGCGTTCACCAGGCACTTCTTGACGTCGGCGGATAGCAACGGGTCTCTGGTAACTATTCAAGAGATCAGCTCAGGTATATTGAAGCGGGGTACAGTCGACGTGGTGCTGGAAGTGGACGGTCATAACGAAGCTCTGTTCTCTCTGGGACTCTTCGCCGGTGGCCTGGGAGGCTTCGTGTCGACTTCGGGCCAAGAGGACGCTCAGGACGACGAACCAGCCACCGCTGGCATGGAGGTTGACTTCATGGGCGTGGGCATCAGACCTTTCACCTTCTTCTCCGGTCAAGGAGAGTTGATGGGTCACGTTTGGTCCGGCACTGCTTCCGAGCGGACCCCAGCATTCCAGGCGCTGTCTTCCGTTCACAGCTACAGCGAGCACATCCCGTTGACCTCCGGCATGGTCGCAGAGATCGATGTTCAAGGTGCGGTGAGCTTCGACCTGGCGGGTCAGATTCAACTGAGTCTGTGGTCCAGGAATGCTCAATCGCTGGTCGACCTGAAGGCTGGCGTCGTGATTCAAGGCGGCAGCAAAGTACGGACGGACTTCGTGCAAAGCATGGCTGAATTCGCCATGACGATGGAGCCAAAGCTGGAGCTGGCCACGGACGTGGACTTCTCTGGACCGGTGTCCCTCTGCATGAGGCTCAGCCAACCAACGAACCTCGTCAAATACCAGGTGTACAAGGTAGAAAGAATAGCAGGCAGCAGGCACAAGCTGAGGAAAACCAGGAGGATGAAGCTTCACAGTCCCGGCAGGTCTTATCAATTGAACAGCAAGAACAACGAGATGTGCTCGAAAGTGATAAACTCTCAGTGATCGTTGTCGCGGGACTTGATTAGGCTTTAAAAAGTTTACTATGACAATTTTATCGAAAGCGTTAGCTCGTGTCGTCCTTGCGTAGTGCGCGACGTGGCATCGCGTGCCTCACGATGGACCTGTGTCGTACACATTGGTGGAATATATTTTTATACTGTAAGCAATTAATGCCGAATTGGTGCTCCGTTGATGGAAGTCACTTGAAGTCATTCCAGTTAGCAGTAGATCTGTTTACAATCGCAGACGAAGTTCAGTGGAAAGGAAGCGAAAATAGGGGTCAATCATGTCTCCTCAAATTAACGTTGCTGTTACTCTGATAATATTACTGTTTGATATACACATACTATATAAAACTTGAGCATGTAACAGCAATGTTTATTTCATAAAACTTCATTGACATCTATTTTCACCACATGTCCACGTGATTTTGTCGTCGGCTGTACCTTTGATCTAACCACGATTATTCTGATATCAATTTTTATGCATTTTTATATGATAACATTTTGTATTCTACACGTAAATTTTTGATACCTTGGAAAATATACAACGACAAAGATATTATTGCGCGTCTCCAGTGAAAAACTGTATGGCGTATAAACGATCTTTGGTCGATAGAATTTTATGAGGTCAATCTAACGTATCCAGCAGCATGACTTTATTCCATGAACTGCCTTTAGCAGAGAGACCTTATTTTTCTACTGTAAATTTGTATTACCTTGTTGAGCGTCAAAATGTTTATAAGCATCTGTTGTTAATGTTCCAGCTACCAGAATTTCAATATTCTTAAAATAAGTGTTCGAATGATAGTCTAAAGAATTGCATTTCGAATAGGGGAGGCTAAGGAGGATCGATGCATTTTGGAAAGAAAGATCCTGTAGACGAAACTAATTAAAATTTTAATAATCTCTTTGTACATTTATAGTCAATATGATACACTTCAACGTGAACGAAGGTAACCCTTTGAACTCCATCGACGACTCTGAGGCAACTAAAAATTATTATACTGTAATTTTAAACAACTTTCACATTGGTAAATTTGTTTATATGTATTTCTGAGCTGTATGAAATTTCTAGGTTTTCAAATTCAAGTCGTATCGAGTGCGAAGGGTTAAATTCGTTTAATTGAAACGAACAACATATAACAAGAATGTGATTTTGTGAAACATAAAATGTCTCGGACTTCCCCATTTATGGGAGTATCGATATGCGATGATGATGGGTGTCGTGGGACGTAAAAATAAAGTTTGTTTTGCATAAATCTCGCAATGAAATAGTTCTGTTCTTTGGTTTATACTAACATATTTTGTATAGCACGATCTTCTTTTAACATGTTTCTTCTCTTTTCAACTCAATTATGTCAACATACATTTTTCCTTTTTATACAATATGTACCGCAGCTCCTCAAATTTACATCACTTCAAAACAACACCTTTAACAACATTTATCCTTAAGTTGAAAACGACAGAAGTCATAACGTCTACTTAATATGAGATATAATTAAAATTTCATACAAAACAATCAATACACAATGGTACAAACTTTAAAGGAATTAAACAGAACACTCAAACTCGGATAACAGAATTACAGATCAACAATCATCGTTAAAACAATTTTGACAATCCTCTTTTGTTTATAACGTAGGAAATATAAAACTCGAAGCTTCTTATGCAGTGTGTTCCACCTGAAACAGGCCATTCAATTATCTTTTTTAAACATAACGCTAAGAAAGGAGTTTTGGAAATCTGAAATCTCATCCAAACCAAGTTTATTGTTAATTAAAAAATTGTAAAACTCATGGTCTTGCAGGTCATACTATATACATAATAGGTGAATATAGAGTAGAATATAGAGTAGAAAAGATAAATAGATGGTCTTTTCTCGGTGGGACATCCTGTATATTAGGCCACCCCAATCTCTCTATTAATTGTATATGAACCATTTTCTATACGAACAATAACAAATGTACATATATTAAAGTTTCATTATTACAATGAAGTTCTGGACAACTGCTGCCACACGGTGCCCTCTCTTGAGTCTACAACTCTCACTACCAGAATTTCATCGCAACAATGAAATTTTAATTGTTAATATCTAAAAAACTATTGAACGTCTGACTCTACAAGGTATGCCATAATTATGTTAACACCCGGGCAACAAGTTCGCCCCCACATTCAGTGTTGGGAATAATTGCAGACTCAGAGTAACTTTTACGCTTTTACGTCGCTATTTAAGCAAAAACCTTAACAAAGCATCGTATCTGTACACTTCTATATTGCAAATAATAGAAATAGAAATACGCAAATGTGATACTTTGTTAAGTTCTTGTTTAAATATCAGTAACAATGTAAAAGTTACTACGAGTCTACAGGGTGTCCCAAATGTTACCCGCAATCGGGAAATGAGAGATTCCTGAGGTCGTTAAAAATAACTTTTTCCTTAGCGAAAATGCAGTCCGCGGCTTCGTTTACGAGTTATTAACGAAAAACAGTGACCAATGAGTGGAAAGCTCGGCTGGCAAGCTCGAAGTCCAGTTCCGCTTATTGGCTCAGCCGCGCCAGCTGAACTCGCCTCTCATTGGTCAGTGTTTTCCGTTAATAACTCGCAAACAAAGCCGCGGATTGCATTTTCGCTAAGGAAAAAGTTACTTAAAATGACCTCAGGAATCGCCCCTTTCCTGCTATTAACATAATTATGGGACTTCCTACATAATAGTATACTAGATTCGCAATCAGAAGAACGCAATATATAAATGTACAAAGTCTCAACAAAATTGGTGTCCCCAATATCTTGCACTCTCCTTGTTACACTATACTAACCCTTTGTTCTCGGATGGCGACTCCAAGGCACCGCTAAAAATTGTTACATCACGTTCAAAAATAATTTTGACATCTTCAAATTTATTCGTATCTAAAACAAACCGTTGAAACTATATCTATTGTATGAGCCACGAGGTTCGTTTTCATATGCACAAAATGCACTAAGTCGCGTGAGACTGAAACATTGTAAGTTGGAAAAATCATTTTGAATTTAGAATTAAAATGGCTTCGAGTGCAAAGGGCTAACACAGTGTACCCATTTATCGCGAGAATACTGTACTTCTAGGACAACTGTCTCTCGGCAGACCCGAAGATGGGACAGTTATCGAGAGACCACTGTATTTGGTGCAGCATATTACAACAGATTTCAGTCCCTAGTTTACCGGCAACCGCACTCGGCGACAACCATGTCCTCGTACCCGTACTGATAAGTCAACGTTCCACTAGCATCTAGGTAAAGGAGACTGGTGGGTGCCAGTCTGGTGGGCACGCAGCAGGCCCTGCCGACAGGCTTGTTAGCACCTTCGGCAGCTTGGAGAGCTCCGTGTACCAGGGCCTGCACGATCGCATGCTTCGTAGGGTTCAGGTGGTCCCCGAACGGATAGAAACACTTACCGGCGCATTGATACGCTTCGTAGCCCGGCGGAGCAACGACCCACTCGTCGTACGCGATCAGCGCGAAGTCCACGTACAATGAACGACGTCTGCAGGAGTTCCTGCGCCGTCTTCGAGGACCCTCTTCCTCTTCCTGCTCCTCATCCTGGACGGACCGGCGCGGCCTCTTCTTCTTGATCTTGCTGTAGCTCAGCAGCAAGATCGGCCCGTCTCCGCAGGGCTGGTAGCCGACTTTGCCGTTGACGCGAAGTCTGACCGTGCTACCGTCTCTGACAGCTACGGCGGATGTCACGTCGAATGCCCTCCAGCTGTCCTCGTGTCGCGACTTGCAGCTCTCCGACGCGTTCGCCTGGTCCAGACGCACTCGCAGGATCGTGCCAGCGGTGCTCAGCAATTCGGCGATGTCTAAGGTTTCTTCAGGACCAACCAGTGGCACCGAAAACATCAGAATCCTCGCTCCATCACTCATTGGGCCTGTTGGTAATTGATGACTTTAGAGAACATCGCGCTGTTCAGGTATGAGGGCACAGTCTGTCCCGCAAGAGCGATGAAATCTCCGGAACCACGCATCCGATTTACTTCGAATATTATGGAGATATTCTGCATAAAGTATACTACAATGTAACGTTGTTATTACAACGATATCTGTTGACATGTATATTATTTAATTTTTTATGATCCTTTGAAGTTGATTTTTTGCGATAAAAATGGCTGTTTTTTTTCTTCAAACCGCGGACATTTAATTATTAAAATTTTCGAAAACTCGTACGCTGCATTTTTTATGATAGTTTAACGATTTCTAATTTACGAATCAACGAAATTTGTTTAATTCAGACGCCCCAATAGTTGCCAACTGTGACGGTCAACAATCAATATTCTACAAGAAGGGGTTTCGGAAACAACGAATAACTTGGACATTTGTATGATTTTTACTTTTAAAAGATCAAAAGGCGAAGCTGAAACTTACATTTATATTCTCTTAGAAAGATTGAGTCTCTTATTTAGTAATTACTTGTAAAAAATATTCTGCAACTATACTTATTTCTTAATGCCTCAGGGTGGTATCCACCCTTAAGGGCAGTACCTGATTTAGAACATTGAAATATTAGTGATTTTTAAGAACTTTTTCTCGACTACTATAAGTTCAACACTTTCAACACTTTAGAGAGATTATGTCAAGGTTTTATTAAACATTTAGGACGGTACAACAAAATTGTTGTATTAACAATAAAGTTTCTTAGTATTACTATAATTGTCCAGTTCCGGACTCGCTAGGTTCATCGTTGATGAACTCACAAAATTATGGAAAAAGTGGAAACGCGAGAAGATTTAACGATTTTAAGAAAAAATTACGATTTTTAGCATATGAATCGATTTATTTATGCAAAAAAGCTTATACAACTTGATATTTTCATGAATGTTTTTATTTATCGACGATGATTAAATATCAGCTAACTAATAAATGGCCGAGAAAGTAAATCGGTCAAATAGTGTTTTCTGTATCGTGTACGCAAACTCTGAAAACATGGTTTCTTCAACTTTCTTATCTGAGTCTACAACGAAAATTTAAAAAATATATTTTGTAGATCTCATCATAGTCAAATTACAATCACTGAAAGATGTAAAATTACCTGTTTCAGGTTGAAATACTAAAGCTGAAAAACTAAGATTTTTATGGTCTTTAATTGCTTGATCATGTCAAAGACAACCGATTTCGATGAAATGTTCAGCATACAGGTAAGTTAACAAGATCTAGAAAATGCATTTTTTTAAATTTTCATTATGGGTTCTTAATTCTTCTACCATGTCAACCTATTGCAATTTTTCCAAACAATTTTTCAGCCACTGTCTAGTAAATCAATCCTTCCGAAAACAAATTTAGATCAAATTTAGCCTAATTACAAATAATTTATCCCGTTTTAAAAGGTGTACAGTTATACTTTGCACACCGACTGTATTGGTTTAAGACGATACGAACCTCGATTAAGACGATAATGTTGATGCTATAGTGTTTAATATAGATAATCTAATTAATTAATTAATTAATTAATTAATTAAATGAATAAAACTGTATATGCATATTTTTAATAAGAGTATCGCTATCGATTTATGCCAAATAAAAATCGGAAATTTAAAGTCTGTGAATCAGGTTGCCCTCTTAACACACTATCTGCGGGTCATAGTTTGACCTGGACTCACGCGCCTAGTTGGCGAAAGTCAATGAAGTTTGAAAAAATCGACTTTTTAAGAAATATTTAATATTTTCAAAATATTTAAGATTTTAATAACAAACATATAACGAGATTTTTTTAGATTTTCGAAGGGGGATTATTTCAAATATATAACACGACGATCGATGCCAGTCTACGAGTAGCGACACCAAGGCGCAACTAAAAATTGCTATTCAATTTTTTCAAGAAGTTTTTACATTGTTAAGTTGGTTTATATTTAAAGAACGGTTAATAATGTAAGTCTGTACGAGCAAATAAGCTCGACTGATGCAATGCAAAACTAATAAAAAATCAAAATGCTATACGTTGAAAGAGATATCTCAGCTTGATTGTTAAAACAGCTCCGACTGCAACGGGTTAATATCCTTCTTTAATAAGAGCCTAAAGTAAATAATTACCGACCTGTCACGTGTACTGGCTGCAGAGCTCTGACTATGTCCACGTCCGACCTTCGATGATAAAGTTCTAGCATGTACTTGGACACCGCGCCCCGATACCTTCTATGGATCCTGTCGCTGGGTCTTCGGCTCGTCCTATTGTAGAACCGATGGACCACAGAAGGAGACGATGCTGGGATAGACAGGTCGAACTGTATCGACGCTTTCGCGTGCACGGTTGACGTCTCCCAGGAGAGCGAGCTCGTCCTCCACAAACCGTACATGCAGAATGATCCAAAGACAAACAGCAACAAGTACTGAGAGGAACTCATCGCGCGACGCACTGACTGACTGTGACGATCGTCGGGTGACTGTGGTTCGTACGAGTCGAAAATCGCATGATTTTCACCCGATGCCGATCAGATTCCGCATCGAACTGCAAACGAATCCTTGGCTGAGCGGCCGAGGCTGAAGGACTGCGTTTAAATAGCCGCCAATCGAGAGCAACGATCGGATGTTGGCCCTGGAATGTCCTTATCGTCGACAGACTACCACTCGACTTCCAGCTACCCCATTTTTCTTTCGTTGAAGTCGTCGTTTCTGTTTACTGTATTTGTCTCCTCTGCGAGTAAGTGACGTGTTCACGGCACCTGCATAGGGCAGATGCGCCAGTTAAAGTGGCCCAAAACTAACCTTTCGCAAGTTATGTTATACAGGGTGAATGGATCTGTCAGTGCTGGATCAACATTTTATTCGGGTGACGGACAAAAGGTGAAGATTAACGAATATAACTATATATATATATATATATATCGTTGTTCGAGCAAAATATTCGATTAAAAAGAATTCATTCGAATCAATTTTTATCTAGACAAATTTTGATTCGATAGTTATATATATATAGTTATATTATATATATTATATATTTATATATAATAATAATAATAATAATAATATATATATTTATAATTTGTCTAGGTAACAATTGATTCGAATGAATTCTTTTTAATCGAATATTTTGCTCGNGTTACCTAGACAAATTATAAATATATATATTATTATTATTATTATTATTATATATAAATATATAATATATATAATATAACTATATATATATAACTATCGAATCAAAATTTATCTAGATAAAAATTGATTCGAATGAATTCTTTTTAATCGAATATTTTGCTCGAACAACGACTACTTATTATTCGTCATAAATTATTCTATTCTATTTATTCGAGTAATTTTTTGTTTGTATAATTCTTTATTCGTCTGCGTTATTCGAATGGAGATTGTAAAACGATTCAAATAATAATGCGGATAACGTTGACCGTTTTTGTTTTTACCTAATTTAATGAAAATATATTTATACGAATATATTTAA